CAGGCAATTGGTTGTTGTCTGTTCACAATCCAGTGGAGAATCAACATTGTTGGTTTACTTGTTTAACAAATTGATGCCTTGCCGTGAGCTTGTCATTCAAATTTAGTCTAAACGTTAAATTTTGTCGATCTTGCTAGATATAGTAAGCATAAGCATAAGTATAAGTATATATATAAAATCCAAAGCGTTTTTGCGACGATTATTTCTAAAATCCGGAGATCTACATCGTACAAGAAGATACAATTGGGGGACACCGAAGCACAAGGCAAATAATAAGGGGTCGGATCTTTAAATTATGCTAAATATGCTAATTATGCTAATATACCTAATACTAATATAATGGATATTACGTGTACATAATAAAAAGTCTAATCAACCAATCTAATTGAACCAAATTTGAGAACGGCTAAAGTGTGACAAATTTGTATGTCAACCAACGCATTAGCTTACTCCTTGCGTTTTCACTACTATTAAATATTTCACACTATAAATCGTGCATAATAAAATCGAGCAAAGAAACTAAGAATAACTGTTGACAAAGGCGCTTTGTTTAAACGTATCGAAATCATACCAAAAAATTTACTTTATCGGGTGCACAAAAGTATTTACTGTGTAAAACAAAACATGATAACCCGCGAAGAAATATGGAACAATTTGTAAGGCTTTCATGGTAATTGAAGATCGTCCAATAAAATTGCAGATTACTTGACATGACGGAGTACTACGTAGCTATTATAATATCCGGTATATCGTGAAAACGAAGATCTCTCTAGTTAACGGAGAAAAGAGTCACCTCCGTTATATTGAGTTTCACTGTGTTAGGTGCACAGCTCCAGAACTGTATATATAATATATACACATTCTCTGATTGGAATGATAGTTTATCTGCAACTGAATGAAAATATTGTCGATATAGTCACTCTTGATATAGTCACAACGTGCAATTTACAGGCCTATTGAGTGACTATACAAAAGGAACTCGATATAGTCATACCTTGTTATCACACAATTTTGTATCCCGACGCCATGACTACACCGAGGTGCGACTGTATTTGGTTGTATGAAGTACAATCATTGGTCGGCAATATAGTTGATATTAGTGCAGTAAAGCGGCTGAGGATAGATTAAACCTCTCAACCAGTAAATATTACAGTGAGAATCAATAGAGTTCAGGGATAAACTTTTGTGCTTGCTTGTTCTAATGAAGGGCTAAAGACTGTTAGCCCAAAACACACGACATATAATTTCTGTTTCTACACACCATTTGTCGAATGACAAAATACTCAATGTTTAGAATTAATCAATACCTTATCGAATACATTAACATTCATTGGATGAATCATTTTGAAGTTAGTTTAGCAGAATTATACTGTTCTTCAAATCTTTCTTCGCCATTGGAAGAACAAACGTTATCGGTTATACGATCTTCCTTACAGTACAAATAAAACATTCTGTAACTTTTGATGTTTTACATATGTGAATGTGGTTTGGGAAACTAATAGACATCTATATAATGCTCCAGAACTGAGACAGTCGCTATACCCAAGGAAAGTCTTACTACGGGCATTGCTTTAACTCCGGGTCATTCTTTCGGCTTCAGAGACAGGTCTCAAATAGACACAATATAATGTACAAATACGAATTGCCTTAGTCATGTTTACAAAATGCTAAGAACAGTTATCGAATGTTTAATATTATAGCTGCTAATGAATGATACGATAAATCAATCGCAAGACAAAGTTGTAAGATATAATCGTATGTTCATCAACCGCAAGATAACTGCCATTAATAATTTTTTGTATACGATTGCATGGCAAACGTTGGCCAATAGGAATACAAGGTTTCGATCCTGTTAGCGCTCAATAATAAAAAAAGTTCCAATCCACGGGGGTTGGCGTGCAAAATGCCAAAGCGTAGGCCTTGGGAAACGCTGCTGAGACATTGTGATCGCAACAAAATTTTGGAAACAGTACGTAAGGGTGCTCTCATTAGCTTACCACCCCCGCTGGATTTGGCAAGTGGGTGAGTTGATGGGGAGGTAGGTGCTCATTAGCTCTTGCCAAATAGAGTAAGCAGAAATTTTCCTTTCAGTTGACAAATTATGCATGTTATATAATGATCTGTAATATAAATAATATATATAAATAACGTGCAATTACTGTTCGTTACGGCTGAATTTTAGGAATGAAATAATTTCGAGCGCCGAAAACCTTGCGACCGAAAACAGATGGATTCTGGACAAATATTTATCTTAATCTCAATGATGACAGCCTTACAAATGGGTTTAAATCTCATTTTCGCATAACAAAGACTACCTTCCACAGACTTCTTAATACCATTTCCAATCATCCCGTCTATCAGTCTAATCCATTCAAACCACAACCTCCTATCGAAATGCAAGTTGCGATCGTATTACAACGCTTCGCAAACCCTATGTTTTATAGAGAATTAGAAACATCGCATCGTTTGGTATCAGCCAGGGATCTGTGCAAAATTTCACGAAAAGATTTTGCATCGCAGTTCTGGAAAATTTACAATATGGCACACAGATCAATCAATGCAAGAAGTAGTCGAAGGTTTTGCTCCACCTGAATTTAGAAATCGTATACCAAACGGAATTGGAGCCATTGATGAGTCACATATTCAATTCAACGACCACAAGTTGAATATTATCAATGATATATTAATCGCAAAGGATGCTACATTGTTGTATTAATGGCTATCGTCAATCATATGGAGAAATTTACCTACGTTTATACTAGCCAACCTGGTAGTATGCAGGTTTTTAAACAGTCAAACTTTTGGAGTGAAGTCATGGATGTAAGTATTAGTATTCAAAAGCAAAGTGATTGCAACGAATTATACCACCTAATAAACCGTTTTTTTTTTTCAGAATCCAGCCCTACGCTTTCCAAATGATACACACATACTAGGTAATTCTGCATTCCCTTTAATGCCATGGTTGCTTGTGCCATTTAAGGAGCGCATGACTCAGCGGCTTACTAGACCTCAACGACAATACAATAACGTACATTCATCTGCTCGCATGGCTGTGGAGAGAGCGTTTGGGAAACTTAAAGGCAGATGAGGTAACTGATCTGACTACAATAGTTGATATAATAGACGTATGTTGCATCCTCCACAACTTCTGCATTGATTGTGACGATCTGTGGGAGGATGTAAATTTAATCAGTGATGCAAATAATAATAACGAAATCATAGATGTAAATTTGGGTGCTCATGTGACTACGCTTCGTAATGCAGAAATTAAAAAAAAAACCAAATAGTTAGGCAATTGTTTGATGAATAATTATGCAGCATGCATTTTACACTGATACTAAATTGACTTGGTCTACATGTGTCAGGGATAAACCGCTTTTATTAACAGATATTTTTATTCCTTTAGTCTTATATTTTTCGATAAGAATATCGGACACTTGTCGCATAGCTATTGGATATACATTACGCTATTGAATGATGATACCAAACAGCTTAATTTCCAACTGAAGACAAACGTTTCCAAGACTGTTAGTAATCGATTTTGAAATTCTCTATTTTCGTTCCTATTCTGTGACAGCAACCTTGATTATCAAATTCCCCTCACTGTGACAGCCAATTTTAGCAACCTTGATTATCAAATTTCCCTCACTGTGACAGCCAATTTTAGCAACCTTGATTACCAAATTTCCCTCACTGTGACAGCCAATTTTAGCAACCTTGATTACCAAATTGGATAGTGGAGGTGCTGATGAGAGCACCCTAAAATACATATCATTTCCTAAATAGATGTTGGATTGTAACACGATGGGAAAAAAATTTTTTTCTAGTCAATGAAAAAGACGCCGTAGTTTAAGCAATAAAGTCTTATAAAATCGAAAAAGGACGCTGTATGATTATACTGTATAACTCATCGCGAGGAACTTTGACTCACAATGAGATGTTCGTTGGAGCTTCTTTTGATCCGTTTTTGTCTACCCACAGTTTCATGCAAGAGGGAATTCATTGAAAAAGATCTACAAAGTTACGCCTGCCTGCAAGGTAACCAATGCTTCAGTGAAACAAGGGGGATGCTTTTCTATTTTAGTCAGTTCAAAGTAATTGGGCGGGCGAGAATAACTTTCGTCTTTCAATTGAGAAAATAAAAAGTGGTATAAATACTGCGGCTTATCATAAAATTTAAATATAGGATAATCGAACATTTTGGTCAAATATTTGAACTTGGTTTTTTTTTTTTCATACCCACAAACGTATTGTATATAATCACAATGAAAATTCTATTGTTAACACTGATTCTCACAACTTTATGTAATTTGACTTTTGCTACAACACCCTTAAAACTGGAAGACGGATTATTTTATGCTTTGCAGGGTGGAACAGCAGAATCATCCAATTCATCTTTGGTAGAAAGGGCTACTTGCTCTCCCGGATATTTTCCATGCCCAGATAGCAGTGTTATTTGTTGTTCCCAAACATGCGGTTCGGCTTGCAGTGTTAGCAGCTGTTGTCCGCCCGGTTACCACTGTTGTGGGGCAGGCGGTTGGTGTTGTCCGACAGGCAATGATTGCGCTAGTTACGGTTATTGTTTGAATGGGACATCCTCGACGTTGACATCCTCCACATTGACATCACCAACAGCAACAGTAACAGTAACACCAATAGAAACATCACCAATAGTATCAACAACAGCCCCAACACCAAATTCGGCATCAACGGAGGCAGTAAATTCAGGACCAGCAACAACGATAATTATTACTTCCAGCGACTCGACTACCTTGTCGTTGTCATATCTGCCTGTAACCTTATCCATAATTGTAAGTTTTGCGCTTTGGTTGCTGAATTGACAAAAGATGACTCAATATTTTATTTAAAATCTTACTAAACAAGATAAATTGTGGCATTGTGGCAGCTTGAAGTTTATTCAGAGCTTTTGATAAATTATGTAATATTTTTAATAAAAGGTTTACGCCACAGTTTTAGACTAGTCTATCGTATAGCTTTTCACGTTGTAATTTTTGCGGCAATCGCATACATTACCATTACAATGCCGCAAGCGGGATGCGAAAGACTTTTCACCCTAAGCAATCTGTGTCTATCTGCTGTCTATTTAAACAACCGTGTTGTTTTTTTCCAAAATGAGAAGTGTCTTTTATTATCAATATATTCTCTTGTTGAACGAAGTAACTTTTAATATCAATGATAACGCTTGGCCGCAACTTACACAAAATGACGTTTTCGTAAAAATTTCGCCACATGAGTACAATAATAAACTCTTGGAATATGCTGACGCTCCTCTTGGCATTGCGAAAAATTTACAACAGCTTTGTAACAATGACTGCGCTTGATTCCATGTACTTCATGCTTACTGGGTCGGTAAAATAGATCGCTAAAGATGAACAATTAAATTATCCTTTCGAATTATCTTTTTCAAAAACTTTTTTTTATTCCCGTAACCCATCAATGCAGTAGTCTTGCAACTCTATTTCTCACACTAATTAATCCCCGTAGTCGGTGAATAAAGTTGCAAGTATACACGTATACAATCGACAAAAACCTATTCGATTATTCCCACATATTATTATTTTTGTTATAGTGTAAGCAGATAATGTCTGAAATTTATATTATACACTAAAAGTTTATACAATATCAATCGTGTGGTTTCGCGGGCCCAGAAAAATTTGGAATCGATATTATGAAAATATCTGCAGCTAATAAAAAATAAATAGAGATGTGTGCCCTCATGTGAGAACCCGCCGGGATTCATTCTTCCTTCACATATAAAATATTAAATTCTAAAATAAATATTGTGAATCATGACACTGTCATTAGGGCATTTCAAATCTTTAGCATGCAACTGCTGTAAATACTTGATCGTACCATAGCAATGAAGTACATTTGTCGCACGGCCCTTTGATATCAGCCTTTGCTTGTGTTGAAGTGGTAAAGCAGATTTGGAACCTTTCAACCCGCCTCACAAAAGTTTTTGGAAGTTCTGCAACTATAGAAAAAAGAATAGTAAATATTAAAGTAAGAATAAATAATAAACCTTTGTATTTGCCTGTTTTAATAGACTAGAAGACCATAATAAACGGGTTAACTAAATGTATTATCTTCGATCACATAGTTTTCGATAAGCGGGTGTATTCAAACTGTGTATTCAGGCGTCGCTAATGTGCATATTCAAATACGGTAAAGACTAAAGCGTTTATTTGTGCCCAGTTAACTATACAAATCCCGCATTCACATACGCAAAACATTAAACGTTACAGAATATTTATTTCAAAGCACATTGTATATACGGAGGATCATATAACGCATCTGATCGATAATAATGTTGTACCTGAGTACGGGACCTGTGTCAGTTCTGAACTCAGTCAACTCAGTTTTGGACTACTATGTTTTATTGTCAAAAATAATGTTAGATCAGCAATCTTTGTTGACTATGCATGCTAACTCCCTTAATTTTTCATCATAGCACTCAGCAAGTTTCTGACTACTCTTTTTCAACTATAATAAGGGTCATGATAAATAATAGGATGCAAAAATAGATCTCAAACTGTACAACGTTTATGTAGTTTTTATAAGTAAAATACATTAATTACATAATAAAATTTAGTTTAAATGTTTATAAAAGTAAGATTAATTAGTATATCTTTGTTAAGTGTTATATGTGAACGATTATTTCGAATGCGATACCGAAATCTAAGCCTAAAACAATAATTTATATTAGTTCCAAAAAAGCTTAAATACCCTTTGTCCCCGACGCTGTCTCAGCATCGAATTCATGTTCTGACGCTGAGCTTCAATGACTTGAAAATAACTAATAAACTATATTTCTAACTTTTATTCTGATAAACGATAACTATAACTTATTGAACATGATCTACATTGCTGCATCGGCAATTTACCTTAATATTTGGATTAATGCATAACGAAACTTTGTTAGGCTTATTACAAGCAATTCGATATCAAAACTGATCGGTTCGGTTCGAATTAGAGGACAATAAATGAATACCGCTCTTAAGTCTCCTGAAACAGCTATCGTGAAGAAGGAACTTACGTAGCAACATAATATGAAGCAAGTTTTACTATAAGACTTTCGCTATTAGTATGAGTATTAAGTATATAATTTAAAAAATTCAATATTAAATTTGTTGCACATTATAATGACTACTATTACTATTGTTGATTATTTACTGCGTTGCCAAACTGAATAAGAATAATAATAATAATTGTTGCATGTATTATTTCTAGAATATGTAACTATAAGCTAGTCGAACAGTATGTTCAATTACGTCGCGCCGACTCTTACAAAAGCAGGTGTGCATCCAACGAACGAATTAAATCTAACGCATGTCATTGAATGATTGGATCTCGAACGCATAGTTTATTATCATACGATTTATGCTCTTGAATACTACCTTTTTTCGTCAATAAGCAAATCTGATCGTACGAATGATATGCATTGAATTATTGAGCCTCAAACTCATTCTTCTTATTGAACGATCTTGTTTGTTAAATGTAGCTTAAATTATTTAGCAGTAGTACAGTTAGATTTAAATGTGGTGGCGTGAATTTAATCATACGATTATTTGCATTGAAATTATTGGTACAATTTTTAGCAGTATGTGTTTTGATATTTGCATTTTCGTGCCCGAGTTTTCGATGTTGGGCTAGATTGTAAACATAATCCAAATCGTACGATGATTTGCATGGAAATTATTGGTACAAGTTTTAGGATAGAAAATGACTTAAATCTGGTAGTAAAGCACTTCCTTTCGATTAAACTGTAAATATAATATACATTGTTGTTCTAACCGCCGATGATGATTTGCATTACGGTTAGACTGTCATTGAGTCTAAAACCGTACAATGATTTGCATTGGTGCAAGTTTATCATTACGGACTAGATTATAAATATAGTCTAATTTGATCCAATTATACGATAGTTGGCGTTCAAAATAATTGGTATTTAGCACTCTGGTTAGTCTATAAATGTGTTAGAAAAATGTAGTAGTCTAATCGTACGATGATATGCATTGAACTATTTATTGTTAGACTGTATGTTGTATGTCGG